TCAAGAACCTTCAGGCCGTCATGAACGGTACCCTCGTGTTCAACGCCCAGAGCTACCGGCACTACGTCCTCGTCCTCTCGTTCACCAAACACGACCTCTTCGTCTTCCTGCTCGACCGAGAGCGGGTCCAGGTGGCGACGATCAGCAGGTGGAAGGACGGTCATGGATTTCTCACGAGCTGTGCGCTCGTCCACACCCTCGAGCACGCCAGACACTCTCAACTCGGCTTCCCTCCCTACCTCACCATCGACGAAAAGACCAACGAGCCCACGTCCATCGACCTCGGTCTCCTTGCCAAACTCTCAGAACACCACTCCTCGACGATCGAATCGACCTCGAAGACTACCACGTTCCCGCCTCTCCCTCCGAACAAGAAGCCGTCTACTCATTCGCCCAACGACCCTTCTCCTCCTACGAACCCTTCGCCTAGCAACCCTTCTCCTTCCTCTCTGCCCGCGAACCCTCCTCTCAACTTCAACAGTGTGCCAACCATCATTTTGCTCCGCGTCGTGTCTTCGACCCGCAACACAGGACCGTTCGCGAGCGCTACGTGGGTCGGCGGCAATGGAAAGGGACTCTTTGTCAAAATCTCTAGCCCGCCTAAAGGTCAAATTGAAGCGGAACCGACGGTCCTCACAAAGCTCCACGAACAGGTCGACCCAAGTTACCTCGGCCACGAGATTCCTGAGTTGGTGGGTTCGTTTTTGGAGGACCCCGCTTTGCGGTCAGTGTGGAGGTTCGCCAAGAAGCTCGCCGACAAGTACGAGAACGTCATCCCGCGAGCGACTGAGATCCTCATCACCGGTCGGTCTCAAACACCTCTCCGAACTCGAACCCCTCCCCCCCCTCAACGCCATGCTCGGCCACCTCGAGATCATCGAAGTCATCACCGATGCCGGAGTTGGCCACCGCGACGTATCACCAGACAATGCGCGAGCGAAGGAGGACGGCAGGGCGACCCTCTTCGACTTTGGAGCAGGGGCGATGTTGCGTCGAGATACCGACGGCAGACGTGGCGAGGCGAGGAAGTCGGGGTGGACGGGGACGATGGCCACGATGGCGCCCAACGTGCTATCGGCCATGGCGAGGCCGCTCGAAGACTTCTACCACCGCCCACACCACGACGTCATCTCCCTCGTGAACCTCTTCTGGTACTCGGTCTCGAAGCGCGTCTTCAAAGCCGAGTGGGAAGCTTTTGCCCTCGCGCGACTTAACACGCTCCCGGCGACTTCGACGAGTCAGTCGCAGGCGTCCAAGGTCAAGAAGGAGATGAAGTTCGAGGAGGTTACCAAGACGAATGCTGCCAAGGCCTCGACTTTCCGTGCCGAGGACGAGACGACGGCGGTGGACATCTTGCGCATGTTTGCATGGGACGAGGGCAACCCGAGGCTAGCGAGGATGGCGCGCATCAACCTCTGGAGCACCTTACCGGGCACTCCGGCAGTAGAGTTTCTCAAAGTCATGAAGAACAAGACGATCAAGAAGGCTCTTCGCAAGATCCTGCACGCAGAGCCACTTCGTCGTATCGCCTGGAGGGAGGCTAGCGAGGAGGAGGAGGAGGAGGAGGAGGAGGAGGAGAAGGAGGAGGAGGAGAAGGAGAAGGAGGAGCAGAAGGCCCAAAAGAAGGTGGAAGCACGCTTCACTGAGGAAGCGTTGAAGGACGCAATTGATGAGTTCAGGCGCATCTTGAACGAGGCGAGGGAGAGTTACGACGGGAAGGGATGGGACGGAGTCGCTCTGACGCAGAGCAAGTAGCGTGGACTGGTTCAGTCGCAGTGTTTTGTATTTTGATTTTTGTTTTGCAACTTCCTCTCCATCGCCAGCGTTTTCGTCTCTCGTCTTGTGTCACGAACCGGGAGGAGCATGAGGATGGCGCCAAAATGACACGTGGGCATTTTCTGTTACTCGTCTCTGTGCACCCTCACTTGTCCACCCCAGCAGCCTTCTTCTCCGCCTCCTGCTGCTCCAAGAGCGTCTGCAGCTTCTCCCTCCCTTCCACCCTCTTGCCCTTCTTCGTCAGGTTCTGCGCTTAGCTCGCTTCCTGCTCCTCTCTTTTGCAGCACGAGGGCGGACGGGACAACCGACTGTTTTCAACGAAAGTTGACCACGACTCAAAAAACCTACCACCCCTGACTATCCTTGACCGCTCTCCTCGAATCACTCTTCTGCTTGCTCCCTTTACTCCTCCCCAACACGCCCGACGTCCCCGCCTTCTTGCCGTGATGCCGCTTCTCGGTCGACTTTTTCAGTCGCGCGAGCTTGTCTGCTACGACTGTGGCGTCACCAAAAAAATAGAGGGGGAACTTTGGTCAGTGCGAGATGGAAAGAGGGAGAGGGAGGAGACGCACTGCTCTCAACGTCCTTCTTCTTTGTTGACCGCATCTTGCGGCGCGAGGGTTGGTCCGGGAGGGTTTCGAGGTCGTCATCGGTCCTTCCGCCTTCGCCTTCGGTGTCTGAACCGTCGTCGTCGGAATCGTCCTCGTCTTCATCCTCCTCGTCCGATCCAGCTGGCGCGTCGAGCTTGAGGTTGTCGAGCGATGGTGGTTCCTCCTCTTCCTCCATCTCTTCGTCCTCGACCTCCTCCTCGACGTCCTCTCCTTCCTCCTCCTCTTCCTCTTCGTCGCTCACATCGCTGTGCTCCTCCTCCTCCTCACTGCCACTCTCCCCACCCATCCCGCTAGCCCCAACCTCCTCCATGTACTATCAAGAACCCCAACAAAAAACGACATCAACTTCCACCCGAACAAAAGAGAAAGAGGAACACAAAACAAGAAAAAATCGAGAACTCACCTCCTCGAGCGCCTTCCTCTCGCCCTTGGTGAACCCACTCGCGGCGACCTCGACGTCCAGATCAAACTCCTTGACACCATCCTTGACGGTCGAAGAAAACCTCGGGTACATCGACGACTCGTACTTGAACCGCCGGGAGAAGAACGTGCGGATGCATTGGACGTCGCGGTTGAAGTAGCTGGGCAAAAACAAAAGGACACGTGGCATCTCGTCAGCAGGAATTGCTTCCGAGAGTAGCCGTGGAAGCAAAAAGAGGGGAGGAAGAACTCACTACTCGGCATCGACGTGATCCGTGCTCACCATCTGCGGGAAATCGATCAAAACGGGTTCCAACACGCCCTTCTCCCTCCTCCTCTTCAGATCCTCTTCCGACACCTCCACCGGAAAGTCTCCCCCCTCAGCAGCGATCCTCTCTTCCCGCTCTTCGTCGTTCTCCTCATCTCGGTCCTTCTCGGCGTCGGAACGGTGGTCCCGGATGAGGATGTTGAACTCGTTGAAGTCGCCGTGGATCAGGCCCGAACGCGCGAGCCGGACGATAAGGTCCATGAGGGAGGAGTAAAGCGAGCCGGGGGAGGGGACGTGCGCGATTTGTCGGCTGTATTGATGTTTGAGTAAGTGATATGTGACACTAGAGGTGAGAAGTGGGGAGACGAGACGAACAGAGGGAAAGCGTCGATGAGCTCCATGATGAGGCAGTGTCGAGACTGGTCGATCGGTTTCGGGACGGGGAAGCCGTGGTCGTACAGGACCTAGAGAACCACAACTCGTCAAGCGTCCTTCCCTGAAGACTTGGGTCCAAAATATCCAAACAAACGCACCTTCATGAACGCAAACTCCTTGATCGCGGCCAACCTCGACATGTACATCCAACTCGCCGACTGTCCTTTCCTCAAGTAGTCTCGCTTCGACTTGATCGCCCTGAACGAGATCCTTCCCAGTCTGTTTTCGTCCATCCACATAATCAGTCAGAGAGCTGGGGAAAGAGAGAGGACGAGGGACCGCACCGATGAATCTTCATGACGGACTGCACGCCGTCGACATCTGCCACGACGTAGATATCTACCCAGTCGTCCCCGCAGATCAGCACCCATACTTCCCACCCACAAGAACTCGACTTTGAGACTAACCACTCTCCTTGCCCGTTCCAATCTGGTTCCCGATCGAATGCACCGTATCGCGCTTCCCGAACGTCCGGCACGCCAAAAAGTCGTACCCGCCATACGTGAGCCTGTACCCGTCGTCTGCACGCACGTTTCCTGCTATCAGCTCCACAATCTCTCTTTCATATATCCTCCTCTCTGAAGTAGACAGAAGGGGGGGCTCACACTTGGCGTTCTGGATCTTGCCGACGAGCTTCCTCTTCGCGAGTTCGCCGAGCGCTTTGTTGACGCCGCCGGACCTAGCGCCGGAGATCTGGGCGATGAGGGAGAGTGGAACGAGTTCGTGGTTCTTGCTGCCTTGCTCGACCTGTGGCCGTGGCGGGATAGACGGGGTTAGTGCGCGTTGCGCTCGAGAGCGGGACGAGGAGGGACGCAACGGCAGAGAGAACGCGGTACGCGTCCGCTGAGATGTAGCTAGAGGTGCATGGGGCCTTCAAGTGAGCAATGGAGACAATGGGAGGAAGTGGAACGGGCGTACCGGATGTCAGTGGGATCCAACTTCATGGCGAAGGCAGAAGAAAGCGCGCCGCGAGCTGGGGGTTGGTCGTGGTAGAAGCTGGAGTCTCGCTGAGCTGTCTTCGAAAGTATAGGTAGCTCTAAAAGTAGTGTGAGATTGTTCGTGCAGTCGGAAGGGGTGAGGCGTCAGGCAGAGCGGCGCGGTCCGCCCAAGTCTGGCCCGGGCGAGGCGAGCGACTTTTCAGTGGCGTCCACCTGGCGGGCCTGCTGCCTCCACACGAATGGCTCAGAAGGGCTCACTTGATTCGAGTGTGGTGTCTTTTTTGGTTGGTCAAGATTGCACAAGGTAGTGGAAGCAGTACGCCGTTCGAATTGCTGGACTGTACCGGCGCTTGAGTGAAGGCAACTCCAAACCATGAAAGGCCACGTGTGTTTTCTCTGGCGACGCCCGTTGGTGCTGCACCCAACCACAACGCGGCAGCAACGGAAGAGCTTTCGGTAACTTGGCGTTTCCTTCCTCCCCGCAAAACTCTTGAACTTGGACACAAAGCAAAAAGCAAAGCTCAGCGTCCAAGAGCACGAAAAAAAGAGATTCTTCCCGGCCGGGAATCGAACCCGGATCACAAGCGAATCGAAACTCGAAGAGAAATGACAAGCTTGTATACTGACCGTTATACGACCGAGAATTGTTTAGATGTCTGCTTGGTCCAAACTAACCGTCAGATCAGTGCGGTGATGACGACAAAAACTAACCCCCTCACCTTAACTCCCTCCTCCCTCCTCTCTTCCCTTCTCCCGGTTTTAGTGGGTATTATCGACACTAGATGGAGTCCCACACTACCAAGATAGCTTGGTGTGCGTAAAGGCATTTAACCCTGTACTCCTTCTTCTCCCTTATGGAGCTCTTCTGTAATCGAGATGTTAGATACAAAAAAGTGCCGGGAGTTTTAGTGGGTAACAGCTTAAGCTGAGTCCCACACTACCAATCACTCTATTGGTGTGCGTAAAGCATTTCTTCCTTTATCTCCTTCTTCTCTTGCTGTAGTCGAGTAGCTCCTGCAATAAGAGTCGTTAGATACAAAAGTGCTCCACTTCTTGATCGTAGTCCGCTGCAATTAAGTCGATAGATACAAAAATTTGCTGTTTAGTGGGTACTGGCTGTCCGCCTGAGTCCCACACTGTCGAGCTCCTCCTGCTCGTCGTGCGTAAACTGCATTTAGCCTTGTGCTCCACTTCTTGATCGTAGTCCGCTGCAATTAAGTCGATAGATACAAAAAAATTTGCGCTGCGTGGATGATGTCTTTCATGATGGGTACATGGAGGATTACGGTTACAGAAGCTATTAGAAAAGGGAACCCTCCAGAGCCGCTGGAACAAAATTGCCTACACGGCGCACGACGTCGGCCGAACCCTCCCCCCAAGTCCGGCGCTTATCTCTCCACCGCGGTTCGCGCTCTGCATCCCTCCCTCCAAACCCACCCCTCAACATGTACCCACCTCGACCGCCCCCTCCATCCACTTCGACAATCCACACGAACCTCCTGAAAACCGTCGTCGTGGCCGAGCAAGCAGCAGCGGAGGGCAAGCACCCGTTTGGTGCCGTCTTGGTGGATGAGGAGGGGGAGGTCGTGATGCAGCAGGGCAATGTCGATGGGTTGAATCATGCCGAGATGACGCTAGTTGGGAGAGCTTGTGAGTGTTGGGTTTTGGGTTTTTCGGTGCGGGAGACGAGATGATTGAGAGGGTGATTGTGGGTTATGGTTGGTTGCAGTCGCGGAGTACAAGCCGGAGGAACTGTGGAAGATGACGCTGTACACCAACTTTGAGCCTTGTGTTATGTATGTTGCTGCCTGATTGTTCTTCTTCTGCCAAAAACTGAATCGATCCTGATCTCGTTAATACCCCAGGTGCACCGGCGCGATTTATTGGTCCGCCTTTCCCAGCCCTCTTCCTTCCCTCACCCCCCATTTCCAACCTGACAAACCTTGAACAGGGCCAACATAGGTCACATCATCTACGGCGCCCCCGAAACCTCCCTCCTCGCCCTCACCGGGAGTCACCCCGAGAACCCGACCATGTCGCAAACCTGTCGCGAGACGCTCTCGAAAGGCGTCAAAGACGTCGACGTCATAGGGCCAGTCGCGGAGTTGGAGGAGAGGATCTTGGAGAGCCATCGGGAGTTTTGGAAGACCCGGTAGGAGGGGTGGGCGGGTAGAAAAGGGAGGGGGGGAGATGACGTGGTTCCGGGCAGGGCGGAAGCGCGGGAGGGAAGGCATCCCAGGACAGAAGGAAAGTGATGTACATTGTGCATGAGCAAGCTAGATTATTATACCCTCTTTTACTAGTCAAAATGTGCCCTCGAGACCCCCTCACAAAACACGGCCTTGCTGGAAACTCTTGACCCGCGCTCTCACGAAGGCGGTGCGTCGCTCGAGTCGACGCTGTCTGAGGGAAGGTATTGGGCGTAGAATCCAGTGCAGAGGATCGAAGGGCCATCGAAAGACTGGGTGAGGTTGATCATAAGGAAGTTGAATGGCTGTGGGAACGAAAGGCATTGTTAGTTCAAGTAGGCAGGAGTAGGAGGGAGGGGCCGACGAACGGATTCCAGCGTGACCAACTCGTACTCGTACACCGTCGGAACGCCAGCCAGGACAGGACAGCTTGTGTACTGAGATCAGTCATCAAGTGGCTCGTCAGCTTTATTCAAACAGCAGAGTCAAGCTTGTGAGGATCTTTTCAAGCACGCACCGCACACCCGCCAAACGTCTGTCCACTGTACGGGTACCTCAAGCTCGGCACCATCGTGTCGTCCCTCGCCAACAACGTACTCCGAGGAGATTCAGCTGCAAGATATGAAGTGAAGTTGACGCTGAGGGTGTAGTTGTTGCCGTGGCGGAATCGGCAGGGTTCGTCATCAGATGCGCGCTCGCAAGGCGTGATTGAGACGGAGTGCACGATCCCGGCGGCGGAGGAGCTGGAGGGTGGGATGGGGCAGGATGAGAAAGGGATTGAAATGGCGGTGGAGTTTGCGGAGGTGTTGACGGCCGCGAGGGAGGGTGCCGTGAGGGTGGTGCTGGAGTCGAATGGGGCGGTGCTGTCGCTGCGTAGGGTGGTGGAGCGTGGGGACGCGGGGAGGGCGAATACGCCCTGGAGGCTGATCAAAAGAGTGATGAAAGTGGTGTGATGCATAGTGGCGGTTCAGGTGTGTGGTTGGAAATCCGAAGCTGAACAGCAGGGACGGGGTCGTTGTAAGCTGAAGAGGATGTGGTCTGGCTCGACTAGCAAAGCTCGATCGAAGGGTGAGAGAAAGAGGAGACGAGTTGATGTTTTGGCACTATTTATACAGAGTGACCCGTTCGGGATGGCAGGCACCCGGCCATTCAGGACTCCAAGGACGCGTGCAAGGGTCGGTCCAAATGCGAACGCGTGGCCGGAACGTGCCTTGCAAGGGTGATGGCAAGGGATTTGCCGGCTTCAGAATAGCCTCTTTTCAACCTTCTATCAAGTGGCTGTGGGCTGGCGTCGCTGCTGTGATTCTTGGGAGAAGTTTGAGCTGACACGCGGTGTGGAGTCAGCAGCCCGCCCGCTGAGCAAAGGTAGCGAAGTGAAGTAGAGCATCGACACAACGGTGGATCCATCCATGGAGTTTCTCATCGTGCAGTACTAGCTACCATAGTCGCGGTCCGGCCCAAAGGACTTGTAAGTCCGCACGCGTGGGGGCACGACGCTCGACTCGGAGGACAACGCGTTCGCCGTAGCTCGCCTGTATCCCGCTTGCCCATTCATTTCTACCACAACCATCCTAAAAAATAACATCAAAGTAATAGCTAAAACGAATGATCCACAACTACAAGCCTCGAACCCTGGAAAACCCCTGATGCGCCCACGGGTCGGAGCAGGGGATCCACACCGCACCGCGGGCCGAGTGGGCAAAGCCTACGCCCTGAGGTAACGTGGGGTACGCGATTGGGCGGGGCGCGGCCCCCTGTCTCTTTCCTGCCATCTGCACCCACACTTTACACCAATGTTTTCTAGCACGATCCGGAGGAGGCTGCTCGCGAGCCAGGCCCGCCAGCTCTCGTCGTCGGCAGCACGAACGGTCGCCGCGTCTCGGAGTGGCGCCGTTGCGTTTGGGGCCGCCGCGACTGTTGGGACTCTGGTGCGTTCTTTTTTTCCACTGCATTCCGATACTCTCTGGCTGACATGGAAAGGACTGTAGGGACTGTATCTCTACAATGCCAACTCGAAACACCTTCTGCTCGAGGCGTCGGACCCGAACCCGATCCACACGCTCACCGTCGACACGCGCGAGGGCGTCCCGGAGGAGATCAGCATGATGGAAGTCACGAGGCACAAATCGAAGGATAGCTGTTGGGTCGTCCTTGATGGCGCCGTGTGGGAGTGAGTGCGACCCGCTTGTGCGGCTGAGGGTTCGGACCGTGCTGACCTGTGCGAGCGGCTTTAGTGTGACCGAGTTCTTGGAGGCTCACGTGAGTTGTTGTCCCTTCTTGATTACTCAAAAGTCCTACTAATAGTACATGCTACAGCCCGGTGGACAGAGCGTGATCCTCAAACACGCCGGAAGCGACGTCACGTGGGCCATCTTCCTGCACTCAGTGTGCGGCAGAAGCCGTAGCTGATCACCGGTTTCGCTCGCAGGGAGCTGTTTAAGCCGATCCACCCACCAGGAACACTGGAGAACAACCTCGAAGCGGGCGTCAAGAAGCTCGGGATCGTCGACCCGACAACCGTGTCGAGGGTGCCGTCCTTCTCCGCCGTCGAGAAAGCCAACATCGAGGCGCGTCCCCGTTTCATTCTGGAGAATAAACTGGGAATACTTACCCTTACAGAAACTACTTACAGGCGAATCGAGCCCTGCTGCCACCTGTGGAACAAGTACGAGGCATCAAGCAGATCGAGGTGCGCCTTCTGTCCTGCTCCCGGAGTGCGCTCACTGACACTCCCATGGCTCAACAGGCGCTCGCGCAAACCGTTCTCGCCAACCGAGCACAAATCTACTACCGCGGTGGCTCCGACGACGAGCAGTGTCCGTCCCGTCCTCTCCTTCTCTCCTCCGCCCATGCACGCACTGACGTGGTCTATCCCCCCTCCCCACCCAGCCCTCCGAGACTCCTTCGCCTCCTTCCAGCGCTGCCGCTTCCGCCCCCGCGTCCTAGTAGACGTCAAGGAAGTGGACCCGCGCACGACCATCCTCGGCTCGCCTTCGACCCTCCCGATCTACGTCGCCCCCGCCGCGCACGCGAGGTTGGGACACGAGTTGGGCGAGATCAACATCACGAGGGGCGCGGCCAAGACGGGCATCGTGCAAGGCATCAGTGCCAACTCGAGCGTTAGTTTGGACGATATTTGTCAGGAGAAGAAGGATTTGGTGGGGCAGGGACAGCCGGACGTTGGGTTGGCTTATCAGGTGCGTCTTTTTGCGGCTTTCTTTTTCTTTGGGACCGGCTAGGATGATGAAGCGCTGACTGATTGTCCTGTTGGGGATTGCAGATCTACATCAACCGAGATAGGCCAAAGACCGAGGCGCTGATGAAGAAGGCGATTGATGGAGGGTGCAAAGGCTTCTTCCTCACTGTCGACTCGCCGACGCTCGGCAACCGAGAGGACGATTTCCGAGTCCAGGAGCTGGCAGGAAGCGTACGTCCTCCCCTTCCCTCTCTCCACA